TCTCGTCATGTATTACTTTAGCCACGTCGAAGTTGTGTCCATTGACGAAGCACCAAATCAAAGCAACTCTGGGCCCATTTATCTTTGTAGTATTGTGGGATGGAATCAAACGATTGTTGATGAGATACAGCCAGCATTTTGCTTCAAAAGTGAGTGCGGAGGAGTGGAACTTCTCACCATATTGCATCCAAACCACATCTTTCCCCGGTGCACAGATTGTTTCAAAGAATCGCTATTACTTTTCATGTGTTGGGTTACGACCATACTCATAAAAGTCATCATAATCAATCATAAGAGGGGGTAGCTGGTATGTTGTCCTTATCGCCTCAACAGAGGCATTCACCGCTTTCCGTCGTACTGTGACGATGTCATTGTCATGCTCAGGCACGTTGGCGTAAAATTCCCTCACAAACATTACATTACCCTCACCGGGCTCATTAATCTATGTTTGTAGCCCCGTTCTCATCAGCTCATCGTACATGTGAGGGCAATTTCGCTGGAGCGATCGGATGTCAATACCCCTCTCAGGAATTGGCTTTTTCGAAGCCTTCTCAGCAAAACGGTTCTGGGCTTTAGCCGAGACAAATTTGTTATTATCAAAAGGGCGTTTAGTGGCAGCCTCGCATGTCCTGGATGAGCTGGCTTCTCTGCTAGAAGATGGACCGGTGGTGCGGCGTTTATTCGATGGAGCCATGGTACCTGAAAAACGGGAACAAATAAGTACCTCCCAACACCAAAAATTGTGACGCACTGCGATTACTCAGACTTCACACGCATATGTGGTCACAATTACATAATAAATTACACTCATTGAGTCCTTTTCACAAACACCTTGTAGGCATTAGGCACTCACAACCCATTCAAAGCAATTTACAACATGAACCCACTACCAAATCTTCCAAAGGTCACAATTCAAGTAAAACAACACTCTACAATTCGCACCACCCACAAATACTACAATAATTATTACCAAATTTACTACTAACAAACAAATAAAAAAAATAACCATAAAAAAGAAAGCACACTTAAACACACAAAAATCTGCAAAATTATGTGAAAACAAACAAAGAAAATTGAAACAAGAGTAACATACATGTAGTGAGAGTGAGGAGTAGAGAAGAGGGTTAAAGGGGAATGTTGTTGGAGACTTAGAGAAACTTGAAAGAGATGAAAATTTTCTGGAATAGGGGAGCTAAAGAAGAAAAGAAATTGAATTGTGAGAGATTGGGGAGGGTTTTTGAAGTTTTTAGGGCGTGTGGTTTGGTGGGGGGGGGGGGGAATTTAGACTAAAGAAAAAGAGGAAATTTAATCATAAAAAAAATTAGAACAAGTGAAAAATCATCAGTTATAAGGGCTTAAATAGCGCGTTCGTAGTGCGGCCAAATGCGCGATTGCGCTAGTCTAGCACGGCCAAAGCAGAAAGTTTTGCCAAATTAGCGCGGCCACTAGCACGATCTTGCTAGTAGCGCGGTCCATGCAGAATGTTTTGCCAAATTAGCGCGTTCAAGAGCGGGATCGCGCTAGTAGCGCGGCCAGTAGCGCGTTCATGAGCGCGGCCGCACTACTGGGCTTCGAATTCGTTTTTATACTTTTCACCTAATTTTTCCATTTTCGATTGCCTTATCACCCGCCCATTGTCACCTGCATTGGTTAACATTTTCAAAAACTCACAATTAACTACTACTATTACCGTCGGGTTGCCTCCCGACCAGCGCCTTAGTTAACGTCATGGCACGACATAGATCAAGCGCATTTAAGGCTCGATCGACCTTTGTGGTTCAATGAGAAGTATAACAGACAACTCTTTCATTTTATCCATCCCCACATACAATTTGAGTCATTGTCCATTAACCTTGAAGGTGTTAGTGCTATCTTTACTGGTTATCTCCACAGCCCCAGACGGGAACACTTCGGTCACCCTGAATGGCCCAGACCATCGGGACTTAAGCTTACCAGGAAACAATATCAACCTTGAATTGTACAATAATACCTTGTCTCCGGGTTTGAAATTTCTGTCCACAATGTGTTTGTCATGCAGCCTCTTCATTCTTTCCTTGTAGAGTCTCATGCTTTCAAAGGCATGATATCTGAATTCCTCCAACTCATGCAACTTTGTCAGTCGATTTTCTCCAGCCTCATCAGGGTTCATGTTCAATTGCTTTAGTGCCCACCAAGCTCGATGTTCTATCTCCACAGGTAGGTGACAGGCCTACGGTGACATACCAATAGGTGTTTTGAATGCAGTCCTATAGGCCCAGAGTGCATCGTCAAGCTTTTTTGCCCAATCAGTTCTTGTGGAGTTTACAGTTTTAGTAAGCACACTCTTGATCTCATGGTTTGAGACCTCTACCTTCCCGCTTGTTTGAGGGTGATACAGGGTCGCCACCTTGTGGTGCATGTCATATTTAGCCAGCAACTTCTCAAAGACACGATTGCAAAAGTGTGTTCCCCCGTCACTAATGATGGCTCTCGGAATCCCAAATCGGGTGAATATATTCTTCTTCAAGAACCCCACCACCACTCTTGAATCATTGGTGGGGAATGCTGCAGCTTCCACACATTTGGATACATAATCTACCGCAACAAGTATGTACTTATTGTCGTAAGAACTGACGAAGGGACCTATGAAATCAATTCCCCAGACATCTAATACCTCAACTTGCTGAATTGGATTCATTGGCATATCATGTCTACGGGATATGTTGCCCGTTCTTTGGCATTCGTTGCAACCCATTACCCATTGGTGAGCATCCTTAAAGATTGTTGGCTAGTAGAACCCGACCTCTAACACCTTCGCTGCTATCCGAACTCCTCCAAAATGTCCTTCATAAGGTGACGCGTGACAAGCCTACAAAACAGAACATTGTTCTATCTCGGGGATGCATCTCTGGATCATGTTATCAATGCAAATTCTAAACAAATGCGGTTCATCCCAGTAGTAGTTTTGGCAGTTACGATAAAATCGTTTCTTTTGAACATATGAGAGTTCATATGGTTCAATGCCGCATGCCAAATAGTTTGCAATATCAGCATACCATGGCACATCTTCCATACTTGTGGCTAGCAGCTGCTCGTCTATAAAGGTTTCCAGAATATCCTCAGACTCAGTTGCATTTTCAGCACCTTCAAGGCGTGACAAATGATCAGCGACTTGGTTCTCCATGCCCTTATGGTCACGAATCTCCAAGTCAAACTCTTCCAGAAGCAGCACCCAATGAATTAGGCGCGGCTTGGACTCTTTTTTATCAACTAAATACTGAATGGTTGCGTGATCTGTGTACACGATAACCTTCGACCCGATCAAGTAAGACCTGAACTTATCAAAGGCGAACACAACAGCCAACATTTCTTTTTCAGTTATCGTGTAATTCTGCTGAGCACCACTCAACGTCCTACTTGCATAGTAAATAGGGTGCATTACCTTATCCTTGCACTGTCCTAACACGGCTCCCACAGCGTAGTCACTAGCATCACACATGAGTTCAAACGGTTACTCCCAGTCGGGAGCAACTATAATCGGTGCTGTGACTAACCGCTTCTTTAGTTCCTCAAAATCCACCCTACAATCATCAGAAACCATAAATAGGTTATATTTTTCGAGCAGCTTACAGAGGGGATTGGCGATCTTGGAAAAGTCCTTGATGAATCGCCGGTAGAATCCAACGTGTCCCAGGAAGCTATGAATAGCCTTGACTGATGTGGAAGGTGGAAGTTTTTCTATCACGTCGACTTTGGCTCTGTCCACCTCAATCCCTTTACGCGACACTAAGTGCCCCAAGACGATTCCTTCTTGTACCATGAAATGGCACTTCTCCCAATTCAACACTAGATTCGTCTCGATGCACCTCTTCAGTACACAGGTTAAATTTGCTAGGCATTCATCGAACGAATTTCCCACCACTGAGAAGTCGTCCATGAAGACCTCCATAATGTCTTATACCATGTCTGTGAAAATGGCCATCATGCACCGTTGGAATGTTGTAGGCGCATTACAAAGTCCAAATGGCATTATCCTGAAGGCAAACACTCAGTAAGAGCAAGTAAATGAAGTCTTTTCCCTATCCTCCGGGGCAATAGAAATCTGGTTGTACCCTGAGTATCCATCTAGAAAATAGAAGTGTGGCATCCCTGTCAATCTATCTAACATCTGATCAATGAAAGGTTGTGGGAAGTGGTCCTTCCAGGTGGCTAGATTTAGCTTTCTATAATCCATGCAAATTCTCCAGCCTGTGACAGTTCTTGTAGAGATCAATTCGTTGTTATCATTCTTAACTACCGTTATGCCACCCTTTTTAGGTACACATTGAACTGGGCTAACCCACCTACTGTCAGAAATTGGGAAAATGATTCCCGCATCTAACCACTTGATCACTTCTTTATTCACTACTTCCTTCATATTAGGGTTCAACCTTCTTTGGTGTTCCCCAGAAGGTTTGTGTCCCTCTTCCAGTAGAATTTTATGCATACAGTATGCGGGGCTGATCCCTTTTATGTTTGCCATGGTCCATCCAATGGCAGTTTTACACTCCTTGAGTACCTGTAGAAGTTGTTGAGCCTGCATATCTAACAAACTAGATGAGATAATAACAGGTAATGTGGAGTCAGGTCCAAAAAACTCATACTTGAGATGGGTTGGCAATGACTTTAACTCCAGCTTTGGTGGTTCTTCGATTGATGGCTTGGCTGGAGGAGTTTCTCTGTTTTCCAAGTGCAAGGGCTCAAATTCAAGATTTCTATCCCAGAACCCTATACCCTCTAATGCCATCACCCATCCAGCCAGTTCTTCTCCCTTTACCTCATCTAAATTCATTATACACGCGGCGAGGGGGTCTTCAATAGTCAGCCGTTCATCATCGGTCTCTACGATTACATCCACGACATCAATAAGAGAGCAATTGGAGAATTCACTTGGTCACCTCATAGATTTCTGCACGTTGAATGTTATCTCTTCATTGTTCAACCTCATCTTTAACTCCCCAGTTTCACAATCAATTAAAGCTCTACCCGTGGACATGAATGGGTCTTCCCAAAAATATGAGAATCTCGTCATCCACTTTACAGTCTAAGATTTCAAAATCTACAGGGAACACAAATTTCCCTACCTGAATCAACACATTATCCAGAATACTAGAGAGTCGCTTTACCGTCCTGTCAGCCAACGACAACAACATAGAGGTGGGTCTAGCTCTTCCAATATATAGCCTCTTATAAATTTCCATGGGCATAAGATTAATGCTGGCCCCTAGATCACACAATACTTTAGCAAAGGCAAAATCACCAATAGTGCATGAGATTGTAAAGCTCCCTGGGTCAGACAACTTTTTCGCAATTGGTCTAGTCACCACTGCACTACAGGTTTGAGTAAGAGTAACTGTGGCCAAATCTTGGAAATCAAATTTTCGGGACATTAAGTCCTTCATCATTTTTGCATACCCAGGCATCTCTTTCAAAGCATCAATTAAAGGAATATTTACCTGGATTTGTTTTAGCATCTCCAAGAACTTCTTGTATTGCTCCTCTTTTTGGTACTTAGCTAGCCTCTGAGGGAAGGGTGTAGGAGGTCTCTTCTTCCCAATCATTTGGGATCGATCTTTATCAGCTGCCACATCAACCACTGGTTCCTGTGCTATCTCAACTTCTTTCTCGGTCTCCATTTGAATGCTACTTTCTTCCTAGGTAGGCTGGACTGTCACATCTGTCAGTTTCGTTGATTCATCCAACTCAATGGGCACTGATATGAGTGTCTCAGCCTCTCTGGATTCTCGAGACCTTTCTTGCTCGACATCCAAATCTCTGCCATTACGTAGGCTCACCACCATCAGCTGCTTCGGGACTTGATCTTTTGGATTTACCTGGGTATCTGCAGGTAGTGTTCCATGAGGGCGATTGTTTAGAGACATTGAAATTTGGCCCATCTGCATTTCAATATTCTTGATCGCTGAATCATGTGCATCTACTCTCTCACTAATCTTTGCATTAGACCCAATAACCTGTTACATCATTGCTTCAAGTCTAGCAAACCCATCTTCTTGCCTTCCACTATACTGCTGCTGAGGAGGGTGATACCCCTACTGTTGATTCTTATTATTGTATCCCTGTGGCCTTGGGTAAGGTGATATATTGTTGGGGGGTCTCATACCTCCCATATTCCCACTGTTGAATTGTGATGGGGATGGCCTGTACTACTGATTCTACTGACCCCAACTCTGACCACCCTGTCTCTAACCTCCATAATTAGACACATAATTCATATCTTCAGGGTAGTGCTGATAATCGTGTTCTGCATTCCACTGGTTACCAATTGGCTGACTAATGCAAGATGTGCACACGCCCCCATTAGTAGTATCTACAATATGTACCTGCTGTTTTTGCCCTGACTCTTCCACCTTTTTGGTGAGTATGCTCATCTATGTCAATAAGATGGCCATATTTTCAGCCATTGAATTGGATGGATCTAGAGACACTGAGTGCACCACTAGAGTGATAGGTGCATTTCTGTTTATCCATCCCAAATTCTGCGCCATCTTGTCAAGAAGACCTTGACCTTCTCTCTATATTTTACTCAAAAATGCTCCACCAGCTAAAGCATCAACAATGTTCTTCACGCTATCTGACAATCCTATGTAGAACCGCTGTCCCAACACCAAATCTGGAATGCCAAGGTGCGGACATATGACCAGCATCCCTTTAAAACGCTCTCATATTTCATGCAATATTTTCGTTGGTCTCTGTTTAAAACTCAAAATGTCATCAATCTGTTGCGCGGTTTTGTTGGGGGGTGAAACTTGTTCACGAATTGCCTGACTAACTCCTCCCAAGTTGTTATGGAATTTATGGAGAGTGAGTTTAACCATGTCTGAGCAGCTCCTATCACTGAAAATAGGAATAATAGCAATTTGATTGCTTCCAGAGTTACATTAGGCCGCCTTTGGGTTTTGCAGATTGACATAAAAAATTTCAAGTGTTGTTGAGGATCTTCGGCTTGTGTCCCCGAAAATAGTCCCTTGTTTTGCAACAAATGCAACATGTTATTCGTGATTTGGAATGATCCAGCTTGTATTTGCTGGACTAAAATTGAGGTGGCCAAATTTTCAGTTGTGGGTTGTGCCCAGTCATAGTGAGCCGCCTCGGGCACAACAGGTGCCATTGGAGCTATTGGTACAACTGGGTGTTCTTCGTGATCTCCCATTGCTGTTTCTAATGGGTCATTTATTTGTTGTTGTCTGTTTTTTCGGTTGGCTCAGTTCAAGGCCTTGAAAACTTTCTCGGGATCTGATAATACTTCACCAGTTCTTGATGCGTTTCTAGGCATGCACCTGTGCAACCAAGTTGACAAACGTTAAAAATTTCGATGTAAAAATTGGGTATAGAGAAAACTAACTACATTAAGAATTTTTGTACTTCTTTCAATCGTAATTGATGATACTGTTAATTCCCTGGCAACGACGCCAAAATTTGATCACGCTCAACTGTGTCTATTAAAAGACAAAGCGGGCGTTGCAAATATAATCCGGGGTATTATGCCCCATGTCGAATCCCACAAGGAATTAACGTATCAAGAGAAGCCTTTAAAGTACTAAATTCTTATTAGTCAACCTTCTCAAACTTTGTGAATAACAAGCGGTGTTATGGTCACTACTACAACTAACAGAATTAATAAACGAAGATTAACTAACACGCAGTTATAGACAATTGGGATAAAAGTCTAAGGTAATGGTTTCCCCCATTGTTGAATTCCTTAGTTGTATGTTTCTTATAGCTTAAAAGTCTATCGATCGTGAACTCTCCATCTATCATAACACTCTCTCAAGTAATTATGATAATTTACTAAACGCACTCTCTCAAGCTACGCTAGCTAGATTCGCATTACAGCTCACTTAGATCGTACCCGAGGTATCGTTATCTCTACTCCAACCTCTAAACCCTCGGTTATGACTCTCGCCTATACTCCGGGAGTGATGTTGTTCAAACAATTACCTAAATATGCACTCTCTCTCAAGCATATACATAATAAATAGGAACGACTAATTAAGGATCCTTTCAACTAACCAAAATCAAAACGTAGTTGAACAAATAGAGATTAACAACCAACTCAAAACTATATTAATATAACAACAAGTTCATCCACAACGGGTTCACCCAAAACCTTAGATTAAAAGAGTTAGCTACTCATAACAATGATGTTCATCACAATAATCAAATTCATTACAAATCATAAAAACAAAAGGAAGAAGAGAAGAACTTGATGTAGAATACTCCTCCTTTCCTCTTGCCTTTCCTTTTCTTGCTCTCAGCTATCAAAAGCTGCACACACCCCCTTTGGGCAAGCTTGACCTTCTATAGGATAAGTGAATTTGCCCCCAGACTTCCAAATTTACCCCTGAGAATTATTTTCTGGAACTGGGTTAGCGCGACCGCGCACGTGGGCGCGCTAATGGCCGCGCTAGTAGCCTACCATTCTGCCTTGACCATCTGGGCTAGCGCGGTTGCGCTAGTGGGCGCGCTAGTCCAGTCCTTCATTTGGTCGATTCTTTTTCTCGTCTTCTCGCTTACTCAGCTCCTAGGGGTCTTTCTTGCTTCAATGTAGCTCCAATCACAGCTTTAAGGCCTCATACAAGCTCCTCATTCCTGCAACATAATTTAGAGCTCATTTTTCATCATTTAATTATATTAGAGCATTGAAACATAATCAAGTTTAGGCAAAACAATCGTCAAATGACATAAATCTAGCCTAATATCAAAGGGCCATTACCAAAATGAAGAGTTCGACCTCGTTCGAACTATGACGGGTTAACATTTCGACCAGCTTTGTTAGTTTGTATGATTTCACCAAACAGTAGAGTACCTGGTCCTCTATGAGATTATACTGAGAATTCTAGTAAAACTGTAAGTAGATAAGACACATGATTTTTATGTGGAAAAATCCCAACTCAAGGGGACAAAAACCATGACCTACACCTGTAGGCTTTCAACTTCACTAACTTGTAAACACCTATTACAAGCCACTTTGTAATAACTCTATTAAAAAGGATTCAACTCAACTAACTTATGGTACTCTCACCACAAGTTACTTTGTCACTCTCTAGTTACCAAGACTTTGACTAACTTGTGATACTCTCACCACAATCCACTTTGTCACTCTCTAGTAACAAAGACTTTAACTTATGACTAATCCTAGTCACAACATAAACTCAGAGAGTTTACTGATTTTACAAGAGTGTTCCTTATCTACGCTTTTGGCTAAGCAGTTTAGGAGATACAATAAGAACAATCACAAAGTTACAACTCAACTAAGGAAAACAAAATACTAACTTTAGGAACTGGTCCGTAGTAGCATTTAACTTTGTTCTTCAAGCTCGTGAGAATTGATTTCTCTTTTTTGCAAAATGCTTTAATGAGAACCAGAAATGTTCAAGTGATGTTTTGATATAAACTCATTGTTGGTACACCTTGATGACATCACTTGAAATGATGTAAGCACTTTAGTTAGTCAAGGAATAAGTGGACACTGGAAATAGTGCAGTGCAAGCAGTCACATCTTCCAGCTGTGTCCCATTGACCTCGTACTGTTATGAGGGAACAACAAGGGTATCAGGTCCTTATTTGGTTCTCTATCCCCTGGAGCTTTAGCAGTTCACATTGAGCTTGAATCTATTAACTTGCAGTGCAACCCAAGTACGTCAGGTTCCCTATTTGGTTCTTGACAATGTTTGTTAGATCATCAAAATACAAATCAAAGATATTGAAAACCTTATCAATTTCCCCCTTTTTGATGATGACAAACTTAAATAGATAACGTTGTTATTTAGGGTAAGATGAACCAGATTAAGTAACAAGGGAACACAAGTTCCACAAGTTCCCCCTGACTTTATGCCTTTCTTATTTCTCATTAGTTTCTCCTGATTTTATGAATTATTTATTCCCTTTTTTGGCATCATTAAAAATGCCCAAACAGATAAACAACATAAAGAAGTCTAGTCGAGCTAACTCATGCCACATATGTGCACACAACATGATAGAGAAGAGAAACATAGAATTTAAGCAATGAGATAATAAAAGGGGATATATTTAAAATTAATAAAACTTAATATGCCTTGGCTTAAAAAGCAAAGGCAACATTGGACTGTTAAAATGGAAGCAGTACTGTTTTATCCCAACCACATCAAAAAGAAAACAAAACATCTGCCAAGACAAACAAAAGAAAAACTTAAAGGATATTTCTAGAAACTGGTCACTGAAGGGGTACTTAGGGGGAACTAGGAGTAGAGGGCTTGGAAGCTGCAGCAAGTATTTGGAGAACAAGGTCTATTCGGGCATTGACCGACTTTTGCTTATTGAGCAGTTCTGCTTTCAGGTTCTCTACTTACGCCCTGAGATCAATATTCTCTTTTGTCAAATGAGCTACTTCATCATTTGACACCGGAACCCCTTGGGCTTTCTGACCTTCCAGGATAATATTCCTGGCCTTCAACCGACGAATCTCCTCTGCTGCATTATTCTGAGCATTAATAAGCTGTGAGACGGTTGATGTACTTCCTACCCCCTCCCCCATTCTTCTCTATGTACTCGCATTCTTCCAATGTTGTCTGTGAGAAAGTCTGCTTCTTAGTCTCCAACTTGCTTTACCCCAGTGGCATCTCAAAGAACTTAAACA